ATACAGTAAGGAGCATAACTGAACCAACAACCACAAGTTTCGTATAAATCATTATTTATTGCTAGGAATATACAAGAATAACGAAAAATAAACTAAATAAATTATAATAAATTATAATAAATTAAAAATAAATTATATTATTTTCACCACAGTTAGGAGTAATATAAGAAATTTTTGCAATAATTAATGTCTTGTTGTTTAGGAATGACAACAACAATAAATTGGATCAGTTTTGCACCACGTCCAATACTTGACAATATTTAATGTATTCTTTATTTTTAATATTTCGTCCACAATCCTTTTGCTTGCAAAACTGTACTAATTCGTTTTGGCATACTTTCTACTAATTTTCTGCAATATCCGGAGATATTTGTTCCCACTGTTCTTGAATTCTATTACACAAATCTGTGATTGAAGTTGGTTGGGAGTCATATGAATCCCAAAGTCGTCTTTTTAGTAAATCCCATAGATTCTCTATAGAGTTGTGGTCCGGGCTTTGCGCAGGCCAATCCAGAACAGAGAATTTGTTAGTATTGTGCCAATTTTTTACACTTTTAGCAGTGTGGTTAGAGTCTCGATTATGCATGAAGATAACATTTTCTTCTTAAAAAGGCATATTATTAACAGCCTCTATGAGATGATCTTGTAAAATATCCTTGTACATGTACTGATTCATGATGCCATTAATTTGATGCAGTGATCCAACATCAAATGCTGTTAGGCACCCCCAAAACATTAGGGATCCACCTCCATGCTTTACCGTCTGCTTTACATGTCGTGATTTAAGCCTTTCATTTTTACAAATCCAGTACCAAGACATACCATCTGAACAAATTCTGTTAATTTTGGTCTCGTCTGTTTTGGTTTTTTTGGCAAATTCCAAATGAAGTTTAATATTCTTCTTCAATAACATTGGCTTCTATTTTTTTTTAAACTTCTAAACTCAGCTCCTTTGAGGGTTCTCCGTACTGTCCACTTGCTTATTTGTATATTCGTATCTTCTTTTAATAATTTCGCAACCACAGTAGCGCTTGAAGCTTCACCAAATGTGACAAACCATATAATTCTTCATTCAGCATGCAGTGATAATTTTTTTAGTCTTCCTCCAACATTTAATAATATATTTTTACAGTATTTTTTTCTTATTCACTTGCGTGCTTTTCCGTTCGACTGATTGCGAGAAACTGAATGCTAAGACGTGCAATAACATTTTGTAAACGTACAAAACTGCTAGATATAAACACACTGCTAGAACATTCCACGTAAAGATTCCTTCTATGGACCGGTGCAAAACCGAGTCAATCTATTTTTATTGTCATTGCTGAATGAGGAGATATTAGTTATTGAAAAAATTTCTTGTGTCACTTCTGGCTGTTATAAAAATGACTATAACATTTATTTTTTAATATTCTCCTATCTTCTTAACAATAAATAATGATTTATACAAAACTTATAGTTACTGGTTCAGTTATGCTCCTTACTGTATATATAATATGTGCAGGTTATAAAAGAGTAACTGTTCACAGTAATAACATCAAGTGTCAACTTGTTTGTGACTTAAAGAAAACTTTAGAAAGATATACAACAGTGTATACTAAGTTGCTAAGATATCCATACATTTTTAATTAATAAACATGCATTATATACTTTAGCTAGTTATGTAGAAATAACACTAGTAAAAATAACTGAACAAAATCTTAAAGAGTAATGACTACACAAAAAGATCTAGTTCTAGAAAGCAGCTACTTACTTGAAATAATTAATTCTTGGCCAATTGTTCCTCTATGGACCTCTGATTGTTCTTCACATAAAAATATTGTTGGCACTGCATTACTTGTCAAGTTTTTTCTTATTTTGCCTCTCATTAGATATTTATCTTCGAAATGCTCTTCACATAACCTATAATGCTTTGACACATGTTCTGTTGAATATTTTTCTAAATCTCTTCTATCGCAAGCAATTATCCACTCCTTAGCTCTAAAAGAACAATATAAAAATTTAGATTTGAAATTTTATAATTTGTATTTAATTTGCATTATATTAAACGAAGGTAACCTATAGTATTGTAGATTTTAAAACGTCAATTCAGTTTAAAAATTCTCAACTTTTCTTTTATTGTATAATAAAATATGTATTTTACACTTTAATGGAAATACTAGAAATTAAGGCAAAATTTAATTTAAATATTTTTCTCTTGTTTATAAAAAAAAATATAAATAGGAAAGATATTTAAAGAACAAAGGTAGATATCAAGTTTACAAAACAGCTATAAAATCAATTTTAAATACTTTATTAGTCCATGAATATAAAAACATGACTCAATGTGTTTATTCGGAATTTAATGTCAATGATAAAAAAATAAGCCTTTCTGATTAATTTCATTCTTTACCAAATGCGATACTACAGAAAATAAACAAGTCCTATTTAATATGTCTCCTTGCCTTTTACTTATCCTACACAATGACATATATTATGTTTAAAAATATTATACGAACCTACCTAATTGGATCCATTGGAAAGCAAAAATGTGATACCCCATGGCCGGTGCTATTCGGACAAGGACGATAGGCACAAATAAATCCACCTTTCTTTGGCATGGTAAATGAAAATTTAAAATAATGTTATTGATACAGAGAAAACTAAATATTAAACATTAACACTTGTAAAAAATGGAGATGGTTGGTGTAATTGGAGGTGAGTAAGTAGTAGCGTCTATATGGCAAGAGAAGTGAAATCTAAGATGATGACAGATGGCACAAAACCGCGGAAGCTAAACTCTGATGTTTGTGGCAATCAACATCCAGCACACATGCGTCTGTAAGTAGATTCACGATCCATGTCCACGTCCACGGTGTAAGAATAAAGACGAATGTCCATCTGAGAGTAAAACTCTCGAGAGTTGCTCTATAACTATAGATCCACCAGGTCCTTTACCCCTGCCCGCGTCTTGCCTAGCTGTATACGGAGTTTCGTGGCTAGAGTTGTACTAGGGCCACTGACAGATAGCTACTCTCACAGTCGAAACCAATTCGTCTCGGGAGAATAGTTATCTGACAGTGGTCCTAGTTGAGTCGAGCCTCGAAACTCCGCACATAGTTAAGCAAGAAGGGGTAAAGGGCCTGGCGTGTCTCGTATATACGAAACTATAGAGCAACTCTCGAGAGTTTTACTCTCAGGTTGTAGTCCAACTACAGAGGAGGTGTAGAATAGACCACATATGCAATATATTTTTACGGCCCAACTCCTTGAGCTTTAGAGTCCATGGACCTGAAGGACTGTGCCTGAGTATAAACTGGACTTTTAGACACGAGGCATGAAGCAAACGTGAAGACTGGGGTCGATACAGTACAGTAATGATCTATTTCTGCACGTTTTTCTTACTCCCTAAGCTGGCGCGCGTATCCCCACCATTTTACTGCACATCCAATTTACAATAGATCTTATCTCACCAATCAGAACAAAGAAAATTCCTATATCAACAGTCGCTAATGGATCAAGCTGCGATATAGAGGTGTGTAGGAGTAGGACTCATTACTGTATAGTAATACCTTAGGTTTTGCAAGCATCTCCACCATTTTACTGCGCATTCAAATTACAGTGAATGTTGCCTTATCATTAAATCGTCAGCCAATCAGGGCAAAAGAATTTCTACTCCTATTCTTACTAACGGAGCGCGCTGCGGTCGGAGAATCTTGCAGAAACTTAGGTATTACGGGTATGTCAAGGTTATGTTTATAGCATCTAAGGTTTGAACTTAAAGCCTGATTGGTCTAATGCCATGTTAGCAATTTTAAATGATCATCTTTTTACTCTGCGCACGTCACAGTATGACGCCTTTTTGATTGATTCGCCTTTTTTCATCGAACTCTTGGCTTCTCCGCATAGGCGTCTTGTCTAATAGTATATGTATATGGTTTAAGATTTACTCAACAGAGTGTAGTTTACCTCAGGGAGCGTCAACTCTATAGGAAAAGTTAGGGACATTTTTTTATTATCATCTCAGCTATGTATGACAGCACTTCGTAGAATCTTATCTTACATGTACAATTTTTTTGTTAATTTTCTTCTTATATATAATTTAATTAATTTATTATTATTTATCTTAATTTAATATGGAAAAGGTTTTTTAAATAAGGTATACACAATAGTAATAACGTCATTTGTTTTATTTTACTTATTATTAATATAGATATATTTTTTATTATTCCAACAAACACACGCAGGTATAAACAGACCCGAAGATAACAAAAAAACGCTTCGCTTTGTAGCTTGGTACAATCTGGTACTATCTGATAATATGTACTGCATGACGTCTGAAGCCGTATGTACTAACTTAGGGGACTCCCTGACGCGTATTTTAGATCTCGTTCAATCCGATCAGAATTCTTTATTACTGCACATTGTATGTAACAATTTCAAGTCTTAGAAGAAAATACATTTGGTGAAAAATATGAACAACTAATAAAATTAAATACAACTAATGTAAGTAATTGTTTCTAAATTATTATAGACTTTCTGCATACATGTTCAGTATAATTTTGGCTAAGAAACTAATATAGAAATGGGTAATCAACCAAGTGAACCAACAGCTTTATCTAATGATGGAGATATAACAAAGAATTGGCTCAAATGGAAAAAAGAATTCCTCGAATATTTAGAAAAGAATAATTATACTGAAAAATCAGAAGACTTAAAAATCCATTTATTAAAAACGAATATAGGAGAACATGGTCTGCATGCCATAGCCACAATAGATAATTGTAATAATTTAGAAATGTTATTAGAGAAACTTGATACATTCTTTGAAGTTCCAGAAAGTGAAGTTGTAAAACGATACAACTTCTTTACTAGCTTACCTAAGAAAGATCAATCAATTGATAATTACATTCTTGAATTGAAGGTAACTTGTATCCATAATATTTGTTGTATTTGTTTTATATTAGTGATCATATATTTGTTCTACTCTTTCTTATTTAAGGAGAAAGCAATAATTTGTGATTTTGGGAACTTAACAGACAGTTTAATTAGAGATAAAATAATTATCAATATAACAGACAAACAGCTTCAGTCAAAACTATTGGAAACAGAAGACCTCAATTTGATCAAATTAATGTCTGTTTGTCATGACTATGAAAAACTATACCTACATAATGTACCTATGAAGTACGAAAAATGTTATAGAACAAGTAATCGAATGCATAAGCAGAAAGCTTGTCCTGCTCATGAACATAAATGTGAGAAGTGTGGTGAATGTCATAATTTCACTAATTGTTGTACAAAGGTAAATATATGTAGCCTTCTTAAGAAATGTTTACAAATTTGTTGCAAAATTAAATTAATTACTGTTATAATTATATTTTGTTCTACATTTCAGATCAGTCCAATACGAAGTATATCAAATCTCAATATCAATCACCAAAAACATGAATTCAATGTAAAAAGTAAAAGATTTTATTCTTCTATTCATTTCGGTCTTATTTTTAATTTTTCGCTTTCTAACATTTAGCCCTCTTATAGAATTGCAAATGATACGACAGGAGCAAATATGGTATTATATTTTACAACATTTCCAAGATTAACGATATTTTAATTTGTAACATTTTTAGAGATGTGAAATGCCTGTATTTTTCAAGGTTAGTTACCCATAGCCTCGGCCCTGTCGGACAGAGAGAAGCGAGCAGCGAAGCACATGGCGGCAAAACATCGTGTACATGTTGCCGACGAACATTTTCTCGACCTACTCAAAATGTACATCGTTCTGACGCTTCTATCAGGCCGTTTCTTCTTCAGAAATGTCTACAGAATCCGATCCTGGGTAGAGTTTTCGTGCTGAACAAAGAACTTTTCGTAAAAATACAAAAATATTGCGGAGAAACTACGCACGTCGACACTTTTTTAAACTTTGACATCAATTTATTGCTATTTAGGACCAAAAACAATTAATAAATTGCATGCCACTATATTCGGGAAACTCTCCTCTATCTTTTAACACCAATTATAACTTTCTAACGTTTGTACTTTTTATGCAATACCTCATTGTTGTCGAAAATTTTGGGTTTTTACAAAAGTTCGTTTATTTAAAAAACTGAGGGTGATGGAGCAATTCGGTTTTCGGATTCTTGTTCAGGGATTGAAGCTCTACAAGAATTTCATAGTGGCTATAGGAACCCAAAAATCGTGTCGGACAGTGCTATTCTACAAACAGAATACATACTACATTCTAAGATCGATTGTAGGGGCCTATTCTGATTCTGGAACTCTGAACATTTCAAAGAGTCTTTCAAGAAACAGGAAAGTGCAATTGGTCGATTTGATATTGTCTGATATTACTTTTTCTGGCAGTGCCACACATTGCAAGGGATGTCCACGTTGGTTGATGTTGGCCCACGACTCACGGTCCACGCCGTAACGTAAGATTTAATCCGTGTGAAGCTGGCTAGGAACTTATAACCTTAATATATAACCTACCAAAGATTTTATCTTTGCTTATAATTAATTATTCAATCTCTTCCACAAACAACAATTATAAAATAAGCAATAAATTTTATAAATAAATATGTTGCGTATTTTTCGGTGGAATTAGGGAATTTTTGTGGGTCGCGTGCTTGTGGAGCGCCGAAGCGCCCTGTTCGTAACGGATTAGTGTGATAGCAAAAATAACTAGAATATAAATTTAAAAATTTATTGATTGAGCTCTAAATAAAATCTGCCGTTTTTGGCAGAGTCTTGAATCTCTTTCTNTAGTTACCCATAGCCTCGGCCCTGTCGGACAGAGAGAAGCGAGCAGCGAAGCACATGGCGGCAAAACATCGTGTACATGTTGCCGACGAACATTTTCTCGACCTACTCAAAATGTACATCGTTCTGACGCTTCTATCAGGCCGTTTCTTCTTCAGAAATGTCTACAGAATCCGATCCTGGGTAGAGTTTTCGTGCTGAACAAAGAACTTTTCGTAAAAATACAAAAATATTGCGGAGAAACTACGCACGTCGACACTTTTTTAAACTTTGACATCAATTTATTGCTATTTAGGACCAAAAACAATTAATAAATTGCATGCCACTATATTCGGGAAACTCTCCTCTATCTTTTAACACCAATTATAACTTTCTAACGTTTGTACTTTTTATGCAATACCTCATTGTTGTCGAAAATTTTGGGTTTTTACAAAAGTTCGTTTATTTAAAAAACTGAGGGTGATGGAGCAATTCGGTTTTCGGATTCTTGTTCAGGGATTGAAGCTCTACAAGAATTTCATAGTGGCTATAGGAACCCAAAAATCGTGTCGGACAGTGCTATTCTACAAACAGAATACATACTACATTCTAAGATCGATTGTAGGGGCCTATTCTGATTCTGGAACTCTGAACATTTCAAAGAGTCTTTCAAGAAACAGGAAAGTGCAATTGGTCGATTTGATATTGTCTGATATTACTTTTTCTGGCAGTGCCACACATTGCAAGGGATGTCCACGTTGGTTGATGTTGGCCCACGACTCACGGTCCACGCCGTAACGTAAGATTTAATCCGTGTGAAGCTGGCTAGGAACTTATAACCTTAATATATAACCTACCAAAGATTTTATCTTTGCTTATAATTAATTATTCAATCTCTTCCACAAACAACAATTATAAAATAAGCAATAAATTTTATAAATAAATATGTTGCGTATTTTTCGGTGGAATTAGGGAATTTTTGTGGGTCGCGTGCTTGTGGAGCGCCGAAGCGCCCTGTTCGTAACGGATTAGTGTGATAGCAAAAATAACTAGAATATAAATTTAAAAATTTATTGATTGAGCTCTAAATAAAATCTGCCGTTTTTGGCAGAGTCTTGAATCTCTTTCTAACTTCCTTTCCAGTTCTTCCTTCTCGGTTAATAGGAAAATTGGAGTCCTCCAGCTGGATGGCCAATCTTTCGATTGCAGCTCGATTACATTTGGTGGTGGTGGTGCCTCGACGGCGCGCGCACGAGGGTGAGGATGCGTAGGAATTGATCAGCGCGCGAAAGTCCGTCAAAACAAGAGTTGTAGGATGTTACGTATCATGATTTCGAGATCAGGGACTGAACGAGAGAGAGGTCCGAGAGGTCTTTGACTGAGGATTGATGACTTCCTATGCTGAAGGACTCAGAGCTTCGACTCTATCTACAAGAAATTAGAGAAATCTTTCAAGAAGCTAGATGACTTCTCCTACATTCCTCTATTAGAGAGTCTCACCAACTAAACTCTCATCGTAAAATTTCATGGAAACTCTCTCGTTATCTCTCTAGCTATTGTAAGCTATTGCGCCAGGGTGAAAATATACATAAGCTATGAAATACACAATTATGTATGACCATAACGTTAGTTTTTATATTCGAATTTCCCTCTTACCGCCATTTGTCGGAGATCATAATACGGTAGCGCCATCGCAAATTGTTTCTGTTTGTGTGGTCACGCAACGGATTCATCATTTAAATTTTCATATTGTGTGTTATAAACATTAGTTTTGACAAATGCGTAGGTTTTGTACATTTCTATGAGACACTGTCTACATTAGTAAATAATGATAAAATCTCAAGAGATGAAAAAGAGAATAAAGTCTCATGATTTCAATTTAGCATACGAGGTATATCAACAGGAGAATTGTTTTGGATTAACTGAAAATGCAATTATACCAAAAAATGTAAAAATCAATATGTTCTCCGATATCTTGATAATTTGATAACGTAAACTTATTTTCAATATTGAAATAATCTGTTTTTAGATAGATAAAGAGAATTATAAGCCACGGACATTGATTGATCAAACCTTAGAATTAATTGATCCAACTCCTAATATTTATACATTGTTCATGCAATTCAATGAGCGCTTTTTCTGGAATGTTTTATTGCCTGTTGAAGTTAAATGGAGTAGTAGAATGACAAGGTCAGTAATATTTGAAAGTTGAAATTTCTTTATATAATCTTTATTATGAACATGGTTTTACTTTAATTTGTAGAAAATTTTGATGATTTCATTCATTTTATATTCATTCCATACTTTCAAATTATAGTTGTGCCGGAGTATGTACTTTTCATTCAAGAAATAGGCAATGTGTAATTTCACTGAGTGCCCCATTGTTAAAATTAAGGCCAAGAAAAGATCTTGTGGAAACTCTATTGGTAAATATTTTATTACTTGTATTACTTTATTAATTATATATGTAAGTTGTTTAACAATTTTTATATTTTGTATTGTAGCATGAAATGATTCATGGGTATTTATTTCTAACAAACAATAATCGTGACAGAGATGGACATGGGCCAGAGTTCTGTAAACATATGAATAGAATAAATAATATAGCTGGAACAAAAATAACTGTATGTATATATAATAAACAACTATATAATTCGAGGATAACACAAACAATTGGTCTTACAGATATATCATAGCTTCCACGATGAAGTTAAGCTTTATCAACAACATTGGTGGAGATGCAATGGTCCTTGTCAGAAAAGGGCCCCATATTTTGGTACAGTACGTAGAGCTATGAATCGTCCACCAGGTCCATCTGATTTTTGGTGGAAAGAACACAAACTGAATTGTAATGGTCAGTTTATTAAAATAAAAGAGCCAGAGAACTTTAAAGCAAAAGGTTCAAAAAACAAAGACAAAGAAAAATCTACTCCAGAAAGTCATGGTTCACCAAACAATATACTTAACTGGCTTAATGGAAAACCCATTTCCAGTATTACTGACAAGTCATTTACATCTACTCCAAAAAATGTCAAATCAATTTCAAACATTCAGGGTTTGCAAAATGGATTGAAAAAGCTTGGAAATAATACAAACAATGTACATGGGTGGGGTACAGGAGGTCCAGGTAGTTCAAATTATTCGATAAAGAATACATCTGTTTGCAGTACACAATTTTCTTCTTCTGGAACTATTGGAGGTTCCAATACAGGAAAAAGCAATTTATTAGACAAATTTAGTAACAATAAAAAATATTTTGAATCAGATGTGAATATTCAGGTACTAGATAAAACAATTAATACATTTATTAATGGAAAATTGGAAAAATCTAGTAATTCAATTAAGGAAATAAAGCTTGTAGAGTGCCCTGTATGTGATAACTTTATATCAAATAATGATCTAAGTAAACATGTAGATTTGTGTTTAACGACAAGAGACAAACAATCAACTTGTAAAGTTAGCATTAGTAAAATACAACCAAAAGAAGGGGATTTTATGTTGTCACGGAAAAGGAAAATTGATATGGATACATCTTTAAATAAGCAACCTAAGTTAGATAAATCAAGACTAATAGATTGTCCTGTATGTAATAGAAGTTTCGTACTTAATGACATAAATGAACATCTTGATAAATGTCTTTCAGAAACAGATGTAGATGATACAAATCCATCTAAAAGTAATAGTATAATTTCTGTAAGTAGCTCGCCTAGTGAAAATTTATCTTCCTCAGTTATTGATGACTTAGATATTTATCGCGTTACAAATTCTAACTTAAACCAGGTAACCAAAACTAATGATTTCAAATGTTTAGTTTGTAATGTTTTCATTCCTCCTGAGATTTCTTTGAAGGATCACTTAGAAGATTGTATTGGAAGTGTATTCAATGATGACTCAACAGATTTTGATAACAAGAGAACAGCAGACACAGTTCTAGAAATATCATCCAATCAAACTGATAAATATCCCTGTCCTGTTTGTATGGAATTAATATTAGAATTTTCTATGAATCAACATTTAGATTTATGTCTCAAAAGCACGTAATTGCAATAATATTTTTATTTTAGATTTTGTTTGATAAGTTATGT